AACGAAAGATGCAGTTGGTCTTTGCGCAGCTCGAAGCTTAGCCACGTTCGCAGTTCATCGCCAAGGGGCTTGCGTCCCAGATGGGAGCCGTGATGCTCGCAGATCTCACGTGCAGATAAGATAAGCCGTCCCAGTTCCCCAGCCGCATGCGGGTACGTACTCGTCAGATTCGCGCTAGCAAGGTAACCACTTTACGCGAAAGCGCGTCGAAAGAAAGGGGCGCGTTCAGTTTCCCTGCGCAACCTGCCCCTCCTTAGCATCCACATTTTCAGTCCAAATCTGTGATCCTCAACACCGCTCCTCTAACAACTGCTGCCCGCCAACCTTGGATCGCAATCGCAACGATGGACAGCCGATCGATCTACTCAACTCACGTCTTCGAGCCGAGTGATGGCCGAAGTGATGACAACCGTACACAGATTCAGACTCAGCTGGAGAACTTCATTCTGCAATTCAGACATGACAACGACTACACCTACAGGTTGGTTGCGACACCTCCAACACTCGCTCAGTCGCGCAATTGCTGACCTCTCCTCAACAGAAACCAACTGAAGGAAAACGCCCTTCTGAAGAAGTACTACTGCGATGTCGACATTAATGACCTGATCAACTACAGCGAGGAGTTGGCGCATAGGCTTGTGACGGAACCGGCTGAGATTATCCCACTGGTAAGATTCAGTCTCGACATGCCCCCCAATCTTATCTGACGTTCTGCGACCAGTTCGAAGCCGCTCTCAAGAAATGCACGCACCGAATCGTCTTCCCCCAACAAGCCAAGGTCGACCTTCCCGAACACCAGCTGCTCCTCCACTCCAACGCCGAAGATGTCTCGATTCGCAACCTGGACTCGATGGCGATATCGCGACTCGTTAGGGTGCCAGGTATCGTGATTGGTGCTTCTGTCATGTCATCAAAGGCGACAGAAATCGCGATCCAATGCCGTAACTGCGCCCATGCGTCAACAATCCCTGTGCTGGGCGGCTTCACGGGTGTCACACTCCCCAGGCAGTGCGGCAGGTCGAGAATTCCCAACGACCCTACCCCCAAATGTCCTCTCGACCCGTACTTTGTGCTTCACGAGAAGTCGCGATTTGTCGACCAACAGATTATCAAACTCCAGGAGGCTCCTGACCAGGTTCCTGTTGGTGAACTTCCTAGACACGTTCTCATCTCCGCAGACCGCTACTTGACCAACCGTGTGGTCCCCGGCTCAAGATGTACAGTGATGGGAATTTTCTCCATCTATCAAAACAAAGCCACCAAGAACTCGGCTACCGGCGGTGCTGTCGCCATTCGCACTCCTTATCTGAGAGCCGTAGGCATCCAGACAGATATCGACCAGACGGCAAGAGGCCAGGCCCTCTTCTCTGATGAGGAAGAGCAAGAATTCTTGGAGATGAGCAGAAGGCCCGATCTGTACAACATCATGGCCGACTGCATAGCGCCATCTATTTACGGAAACCGCGACATTAAGAAGGCCATTCTTTGTCTGTTGCTTGGTGGGTCCAAGAAGATCTTGCCAGACGGCATGAAGCTTCGTGGAGACATCAACGTCCTACTTCTTGGTGATCCTGGTACGGCAAAGTCGCAACTGCTTAAGTTTGTGGAGAAGTGCGCACCGATTTCCATCTACACTTCCGGCAAGGGTTCTTCAGCTGCCGGTCTGACAGCATCCGTCCAGCGCGACGCATCCACCCGCGAATTCTATCTCGAGGGAGGTGCTATGGTTCTTGCTGATGGTGGTGTGGTTTGTATCGATGAGTTTGACAAGATGCGTGACGAGGATCGAGTGGCTATTCACGAAGCCATGGAACAACAAACAATCTCTATTGCGAAGGCCGGTATCACTACTATTCTCAACGCCAGAACATCAGTGTTGGCGGCAGCCAACCCCATTTTCGGTCGTTACGACGACATGAAGACTCCTGGTGAGAACATTGACTTTCAGACCACGATTTTGTCTCGTTTCGACATGATCTTCATCGTCAAGGATGAGCACACACGCGAGAAGGACGAGAGGATAGCGAAGCACGTTATGGGCATCCATATGGGTGGCCGTGGTGCGGAAGAGCAAGTTGAGTCGGAGATCCCAGTGGACAAGATGAAGAGATATATCAGCTACTGCAAATCGTAAGTTGTCCAGCAAACATAAACGGCCAAGTTGGCACGCTAATGATATTATCAGGAGAATGGCTCCTCGCCTCAGCCCAGAGGCCGCTGAGAAGCTGTCGTCCCATTTCGTCTCCATCAGAAGGCAGGTCCACGCCGCGGAGATGGAGGCAAACACGAGATCTTCTATCCCGATTACTGTTCGTCAACTTGAGGCCATTGTCCGTATTACCGAGTCTTTGGCCAAATTGACGCTATCTCCTATTGCTACCGAGGAGCATGTGGACGAGGCAATCAGACTTTTCCTCTGCTCCACCATGGACGCTGTCAACCAGGGCAGCAACCAAGGAAGCAAGGAGCTCAACGATGAGGTCAACAGACTGGAGGCTGAGCTCAAGCGACGCCTGGCAGTTGGCTGGAGCACCAACTTGTCTACATTGAAGCGCGAGATGGTTGAGCAAAGGGGCTACACCGAGCAAGCACTCAACAGGACACTGATGATTATGCAAAGGAGGGATACGATTGCCTTCCGCCAAGGAGGCGCTCAAGTCTACAGAAATTCGTTGTAATAATTGCTAGAGGATTTTTATTTGTTGGACGGTATTGATGAACATGGCAAGAAGCCTCATGAAAGGAATGATAATCGAACCCAAGCCTTTGTAGCTGTGTATGTTCTTTTCAAGAATAAATTCAAAAGTTTGATAAAGATAGAAAAGCTATTGTTACAACAACTAAGCAAAGTATTCTGCTTTGTTGATCAAGTCTGCTTGTGTCTGTCCAGGCCAACTTACTGCTTGATGTACAATCCATCCAAATCTAAAAAGCCTCATAGCCCAAGAATGAGCATAGCTACGGTTTGGATGGATCTGGCCAATATGAGACACGCGGTATATGGTCTACTTGGACCGCCACGAATTGCTGGAGATAACAGATTTGTTGGAGTTCCAGATCTGGAGTTCGGAGTGGATCTGACTAGACGAGACAGATTAGCTGCATGATCCAGAAGATTCCGCATATTTCCATGACCACAGTCCAGAGCAATTCAGACACGCCAGTTCTCCGCAGGCTCAACCTGGTCAACGCACATAGGCCGAAATGAGACGACACGACGCACTCGCGGCTGAGCAATCGGTTTACCAGATGTAAGATTGTCATCCTGTCTCTGCACAGCCAGTTCCCCATCCCCCGTCTCCCAAGAAGCGTACCTTATTATTCAGCAAGCTCCTGCTGGGGAGATGAATCTGCGACTTGAGGCTCGAAATGGCATTGCGTCACGAATGGAGGCAACCCCGTCATCGCACGAGGACTGGGCATAAAGATTTTGGCATACAGCTCCAATGGGCGGAGCATGTCTCTTGCGTCAGGTGATCATCGCATCATGGAAGCCGCACGAGGGGCCCTCACAACAATTGTTTTAAGCAAGACTAATGTCAATCTCGACACATCCTTTGGAATCGTCAGCAGCGTAGAAGCGATGTAAAATCGAGGCAGGCTGGCGATGATTTGAATAGGTGGTCTGGAATTGTTGAAGAAGGAAAAGAGAGGAACAAGGCCTGCCGCTCGCGGCCGCGAAGTTTAAAAAAATTCAGGCTGGCCCGTACTGCGGGTGGGGCCTGTGTCTGTCACGTGCGTCACAGTGTCGAGGTGAGGGTGCAGGTGAGCGTGGTCGTGGTACGGATATGTGGGACGTGGTCGTGTCGCTGCCGGCTGCCTGATCCAGCCACACCTGTCCCTGGGGGGGTCCCTCTTCCTCCCAACCATCAGCCAGGGCCGGTGATCGGGTGTCGGGTGTCGGAGCGGGCACGGTTAGCCATGGTTTCCTGGACGATTCGCTGCTGGGGACGTGCCTTCCTGTGTCGCGAGACATGTTACGGCGGAATGAAGCACCTAACCCAGATCCATTTAGAGTGCCTCCAGCGCGTAGACGGCCCCTCAGGGCTCTAGACTCTCCAGCTGCGCGGGCTTTGGGCCGCTTGCTGCTCCGGTCGGTCCCAAGAACGGCAGGCAGGAGGCAGGCAGGCAGGTTCCTGCTCAGGTTCCTGCTCTTTCCCTCGCCAGTCCCCTTCGACTTCCACCTCTCTCCAATCCCGCGGCAAAGCCTAGGCCCACTCCCCCCCTTCGCTCTCCCTCCGACAGCACACAACTGGAGGTAACCTCACACAGCGCACACCCCCTTGCTAAACTTACCTCGTCCACTCGCTCCCGCCCGCCCTTCTTCCACCGCACCTCACCTTACCTCAGCCAGTGCCAGTGCCAGTGCCAGCCAGCGCAGCCCACGGCCCAGCCCAGGCGGCCACCCCCGTTAAGCGAGCAAATTGCCTCGCTCATGTGTCCGCCCCCTTCACTCTACCCAGCGCCGTTCAGACTTCATCTCCTTCAACTCCACCACGACCTACCGCCAAAACACCGCGAATCGACGACCGATCTTCGACAGCCGCCCATCGCCGTCGGATTTTTTTTTGTCGCTTTCACCACGCCAGTTGGATTTTGGCACAGGCAAAAAATTTTATCACCCAGGAAAGTCGGCCGCGATCCACGGTTAATTGGACTGCGGTGCATGACGCTGCATCGGGGGATCGAGAGCCGTCGGCGGTTTGGCGCGACTCGCCACAACAACCCCCTCATCCTCTGATCGAGCTCAGGACGACCACAGCCATCGAGCGCATCGTGAATCCCGCTCGAAACCCTTCTTTACGACCTTTTCCGAATAGCAGCCGGGTTTTTCTTTCGCTCCTTCCCACCCGGAACGCTTCCCGATAGCGGCTACCATCCCTCGTATTCCGACCTTTCCCATTTCTCCTCACCTGACAACGACGACGTCCACCACCACCACAACGGCAACGGCGACGGCACGATTCGATCGAGAACCCATCACACCCGGCAACGTCACCATGTCGTTCCACCCTCGAACTCCTCAGAGTCCTTCTCAATTTTCTCCTGGCACCTCCGATCCCGCGTCGAGCATAAACAGCTCGGCCCCGTCATCGACCACGACATTGCCAACACCAGCCCACAGCGTCAACGGAAGCGCATCGCAGCCATCCGACATGTCTCAGGACATCATCATGGGCGATGACTCGCCCCACAAGCGCAAGCGCCCGCTCGAAGATCTTGGCGATCGAGAGCAGAAGAAAGTCCACATCGAGGATAGCAAAACTGGTATCGAGGCACTCCACCTGGATGTCGGAGAGAAATACCTACTTTGCCAAACTCGTAAGGCTCCCTTCGCAGGCTCCTGTCACTTTTGCAGGCTGTCTTGTCAAACCCCCTTCCTAATGACGTATCGGGTGTTTTGATACTGTCATATATGCCGAACAATTTTGGTTAACACTGAGCGAAATAGCGCACCACGAGAGACTGCCGCGAATCACCGAAGATCTTTTTGAAATGTTCAACCTTACCGGCATCGCCGCAGAAGTAGCTCGCGAAAAGCCCAACGGTGAGAAGAATGCTCTACGGAAGACCTACAAGGGTCAGATCAAGAAACTGGGAATCCTCGGGCGCTTCGACTCTGTCGCTCAGGAATGGGATGCTCCCAGAGAAGACGGCGACAAGAAGAGAGAAGCGTACCACGGCTTTAGGGAATTGTTGGAAATCCCGGATGCAGAGTTCTGGAACTCTCGGCAAGATCCGATCACCAACGGCCTGTCTGGCACCGTGAAATCGCTGCTGGGCAGAGCGACGACCATGGCCAAGGGCCCCATTCCGGTCAAGGACTGGGACAGTTCAGTGCTGGGAGATCTCGCCACAGGCAGCGTAGAGGCCCTGAGGCAAGGTCTCGCAGGCAAGGCAACGGCGCCCGGAACGCCCTCCGCGACCACGCCGAACCCGTTCGCGCGCAAGCAGCAGCAGACAGCTCCAGGTGCAGTACGTCCGCAACGGACCAAGAAGCGAGGCTATGGCGACAACAGCTTTGAGGGTTACGGAGAGGGCTTCCCCGACGACGGCTACTCTACGGGAGATGGCGACGACAGGGGAGGCCAGAAGCGTCGCAAGAAGGTGGGTGATGCCTCATCCGGGCCGCCTATATCTGTGTCTGACTCGTCACAGGATAGCGGTAACGGGCAGGCGTTCCCGAACACGATGCGTCCGCAAGGCTACGGTTCGAGCGCCGTGGGCGCATAGCAACCGCCCCCCGCAAAGAACAAGGTTACGGCTCGACGCTCCGCAATCCCCTACGAGGGGAGGCGGTAGGCAGCATTTTCTTTCCCTGCCCTTCACTCGTCAGGGTGTTGGGTTTTGCTCAGAATGTCTCACGGGTACACCGGTGATACGGATAACGACCGTTTGGATCGGAGGATCTATGAGCAACGACCATCGTGGGGTGAAAGGAAGGCACACTTTTGCGGTTCAGTTTACTGCCGCTCACAGATCAAGGGCGGGTATTCTGCACACTTTTGATGAATTTTCCACTTCCAGCAGGGCGTTCGGGGGACAGTCGATTTCTTCTATTTCTGAGACTACTCAAGTCGTTTTTTTTTATTCGACGCATTCAGTCAAAAGGTTGACAACGAAACATGACCGACTGAAGAGGGATGGATTCGGGGAAGGAAGGGGAAGGGGATAAAAAAATACCACACATTGGTCATGGGGCATCATTTCAAAGGTTGCAACGAAGGGGAGGAACGGGACGGGGCTTTTCGACCACCACGACCTCCACATCATACCGGACACACAAAAAAAAGCCAGGCTGGGTCGTTGTAGCACTACTATCACACACAAACAAACATCAAGTAATTCAATAGACGGCACCAGACGCCGACATATCAGTCAAAAGTGGACTGTCCCCGGCGTAGAGTGTATTGATATTTTAAGAGGGGTTCTTCTCATTGTTGACATATCCTACGTCCGCCTTTGCAATGTTCTGTTGTGATCGCTGCAGTAGAGACTTGACACCCCTCCCTTCTTGTGGCCAGACGAGCTGCAGGCTAACACCGTCCGCAACCATCTCATGTCTACCTCCTAGGACATCTCCCAGATGGCCCTCGCCGTCATGTCTTCCTGCACCCACCCCAAGATGCGCTCGCCCATGTCCCCAATGAGCCTATCATAGTGCGGGCCCGGGACGAAGAGGCCACAGTGGGCGCCGACCTCGTCCATGCCCTCCATGTAGACGGGTACCCACGTCTCGTCGCGACGGCCGTTTGTCTTGCTTGGGAGCATGCAGAACTTGCGCTGCTTCTTGGGTTGTTGAGGGGTTGCCCCGGCTGGCGCTGGTCCGCGAGAGGAGGTCCCTGAATCCCTGGATTGTGTCGGGGCGAGCGATGCTGACGATGATGCCGGGGCTGTCTGGGCCGTGCTCGAAGACGAGGGCATCCGAGGGGGCAGAGCCGGCGGGGGTGCTCTCGGTTGCGGCGGGGGTGCTAACGGTGTTTGTGGTCCGTCTTGTGATATCGGCCTTGGGTCGACCTGCGTAAGGGAACCGGTGGGCGACTCCGGCTCGGACTCCGAGTCAGACATCTCAACCGCCTTCTGTTGCTGTTCCGCGGCTTCAGGCTTCACCGCCGGTTGCTGTCTCCTCGCGGCGTCGGTCTCTCTCTGCGTCGCCTCCACTTGTCTCTGCGCGGCCTCTAGCTCCCGCTGTGCCGCCTCTGCCCGTCGCTGTGCTGCCTCCACGGCCCTCAGCGCGTCCTCACGGGACTTGGCCTGGCCAAGCTCCTCCTGCTGCCGCCTCTTCTGCTCCTCCTTCTCGACCCGCTGGGCCTCTTTCTGGGCTTCCTTTTCCGCCTTCTTACGGCGCTTCTCGACGAGCTTCTGGCGCTCCTTGATGGCCTTCTCGCGGCTCTTGACTGCTTGGTCATAGGCCTTCTGCGCGCGCTTGCCCTCCTTTTCGGCTTGCTTGCGGGCGTCCTTATCCGTGTACTTGTCGAGGTCTGGTGGTGTTGGCTGTGGAGGGAGGTCGGGGATGGGAGGAAGGTCAAAGTCTGCTGGCGTCTCAGGCTGGACAGGTTCCGCCGGTGTCGCCTGGCCGGAAATCGGCTCGTTCTCTTCTACTTTGGAAGGCTCCCCGGTTTCCTCTCGATCGGCTGCCTCCTTTTGCTTGCCCTTGGGTGCCTGCTCATCGGGAACCTCCTTTTCTTTGCCTTTTGATCCGGGTTTCTTTTCCGCCGTGCTATCATCCGTCTTGTTCTTGGACTGTTTCTGCTGTTCCTCGTGAAGAGTTGATAGTTTCCTGTCCACGGCTTCGATAGAGCTGATAATCTCAAAATGCTCGCCATCAGAGCTATCGACAGATATCCTGGGTGTCGATGACCCGTGTGGTGAGAGCTGGGAATTGACGTCAAGGGTGCTCATCTGTCCCGCAATGTCATGATCCGGAGATCTCGGCGAGTCTGGCGTCTTTGGCGACTTGGGCTTCTTGGGTCTACCCGAGCTAAGGGTATAGTAGTTTATGAACCGAACCCTGGCTGACGGCGGCAGCTGGTTTGCGTTCGCGCCCTGGCCGTTGTTCTGTTTGAGATGTTGCAGCGGATCGATATCCTCCAAAGCGCGGAGCCTGTTGTATCGCTGGTTCAAGCCCTTGTAGTCTGCAAGACAACCACCGTACTCGAGATGGGACATGAGGTGGTTCTTGATGGGATCCCACACGCCCTCGGCTCTATGCTTTTTGGCGAAGTGGCCTATCCGCCTCATAAATGGGCGGTCTTTGAACTTGGCGTCGTTCCAGAAGGGAGGGTTGAACCACGGGTCAGAGCTTTGCGGCGGACCACTGGAAGAAGCGATAGACGGTGCGTTGCTTCCTTGAGGAGAAAGCTGCGAGTCGAGGGAAGGGGTTGATTCCAAACTTGGCATGGACGGATTGGGACTGTTCATGGCTGAAGTACCTGGACTGAGGTGGGCATTTGACGCATCTAGCTGGTTATCGACCTCTTCCGGCGGCGGCGAGGCTGGTCTGAACAAGCTGGCAATGCCAGCAACAACGATGCCTGGATGAAGTCCAAGAAAAGGCGAATCGAGTGAGATGGTGCCGAGTATACGGTGTTTGAAAGGCTGGCGCCTATATGGATGCCGATTTGGCTGCGGACTTCGTGAGCAAACGTGAAAACGCCGTGCGTATTTCAAAACTTACCATGAGAGCGACCTCGCCGGCAAGGATGCCGCCCATGGAGTGGCCGACAAGGATGACATCAGTTTTGTCCGACTCATGCGGCTCGAGCCACTGGCTGAAGTTATCACGAGCAACATCGATGGCCTTGTAAGTTTTGTAGCGGGGATAGATCTTTGAGTGAATGACATGGCTCTCGACGAGAGTGTCTTTTAGAAAGTTGTGAATGTGGGCCGGGAAGGACCTGAAAGACGACTCGTTGCCGTAAAAGCCATGAATGTAGATGATGAGCAAGGTCCGGCGGGCATCGCCGTCACGGTCCTCGAGGGATGGGGCAAGGGACTGGGCCGATGACGATCTAGGATCGGCCAGGCGCCGTTTCGAATCGAGGAAGCCGCCGGCGGAGGATGAGGTGTGGGAAGTCTTCTCCGGTGTGGCGCCTGAGGCTCTGTGGCTTGATGTCGGGGCAGGTGGGTGAAGGGATGACGAGGCGGGCCCGTCAAAGGAGCCGGCGAAGGAGCCGGAGCCCGGGGCGGAGATGGAGTAGGGCGGTGGTGGTGCCGATGAAGACGAGGGTCCGTCGTCGTAATGATATTGGTCCATGACGTCAGGCTTCGTGTCACTCAAGCGATGGATGAAATGAGAGAGGGGTAAGTCTGTCAGGAGGGATGGTTTAGAAGGCGAAGGGCGAACCGCCCGCGGGGGAAAGATTTGGTAGATCGGGGTGTGATGAGGGGAAATCTAGGGTCGTGAAGAATGAGCAATTAAGGCAAGTTGGGGTCCAGATACGTTGGCCACCAGGACAGGTATCAAGCTGTATACCTTGGTAGGTCGAGTAGGCAAGCAGGGCCAGGCGATTGTTTAAAGCTTCAGGTATGAGCGACAATCAGTTGTTCTTGACCTTGAGCCGTTCTTTCCTTGGCTTGGCTGGTCGGTCCAGAACCTAACGTGCGTGACAAGGGGATGTTGCCGTGCTATGCTGGGTACGTAGTCGGCAACAAGGCGCCGTGGCGGTGGTCCGCAGCTCCAGGTCAGGTCACTGCCGTACGTACGTACTCTCAGTTCACCTGCCTTACCAAGGCACACTACAATAACTACCTAGCTACCTAAGGTACCTGCATTTCTCGTTTCCTGATAGGATATACGCGGAAAAGTGATGGCGAAACGCGGGTTTACGTTACTGTGAGTTGCTAAGCAGCTAAGGTAGCCCAGCTCTTCCTGCTTGCTGCGTGCTGCGCCCGGTTTTTCCAGCAGGACAGGGCACTTGGGGTTGCTCCCCACTGAGCTCACTGCCCGCTCAGGGCCAGTGCGGCGCCTTACTACCTGGGTACGCTGAAGGGTGATTCGTCAGTTTCTCCAACGGGAATGCCGTAGAGCTGCACTGATTGGTGGGGACGAGGCAGGTGAAAGCAGATGGTTGGCCGGGGTTATGGGAAGACCAGACGGGAATGACGACATGCTCAGGCGCGAAACACCTGGAGCGGCAGACGGCCCGGTCGATTTGTCTTTCAATGCCCTGAACGATGCGCGTTGAAGCTGTCCTCTGCGCCATGGCACTGTCGACGGTATTCAGGTGCATTGAACTCATCCCGAAGTATTGGCTCGCGGTGATGGTGTTCAGCGACACATGGCAGATGGCGCTGACAGTGTGAGTGGCATCGCAGCAGGCATAGAGCCTGTCACTGCCGTGAAGAAATGGCAGGGCTTGCCTGGTCTGACCTTCTGGTCCAATCACGACCGTCGGGCTGTGTCCTTGATAATTTCTCTATAGACGAGTTGAGTTTGTACAACATTCGTAGACTTACGAGTAATAAGCCACGAACCTCAGCCTCGACAATGGCGATGAGTAAGTGCCGTGGCATATGGCTGGGTGCATTGTTCCCCGTACTTGGCAAAGTTCCGTCTCCGGAGTCTGGACGGTTGTTTGGTTTACAATGTTTTTTGCTCTGGCGTTCGGTTGGTTCCAGCGTGACAAGAATCGGGGTAAAAGGGCACAGCCATGCCAAACGAGATTGCAGTATGAGAGCTTGCCCGTGGCAGTGCCCAAGAACCCACGTGTTTTGAGTCATTAAAACAAAGCCCAGAGAGTTTGAATCCTTCTGTTTGAATGGCCGCCGGATGGTGCGACGTTGTTCGAACTTAAACGGTGCCTTTCTCGCCTTTGTCTTGTTGAAACAGAACAATGAACGATAGTAAGCTTGTAATATAGCCTCATCTTGTTGGTGATATCGCCAACTCTTGGCCGTTACTTCGATTCAACATGCCGACCCTCTAAAAATCAGGTTCGCAACAGACCCAGTCTGATTACGTTCCATCAAACGCACCGCGGTCATCTTGCTCGATTCGGAGGGGGCCAGAGGGAAATTGCTAGATTAGATTAGATTTGGGGAGGGGGAAACACCCTCGTCGCCCACTTCGAGAGGGACCTGTCTTGCCCTGGGTATGTCCGTCGATCTTTTTTCCTCTCAAGGTGCGACATCATTCTGCCAAGGAAAGAAACCAACTCGGCGCCGCGACGCCGGTCTCTCTCATCTTCAGGCGAGTCGACGGGACGGGACAGGACAGGACGGACGGACGCCCGGGACGCGGCATCAGCATCGTGTAAGTGAGCTCCCGACAACGACTGTTTGCGCGACGTCCAATACGAGCCGTTATTGCGGCCAACCGTCGTCTAGAACCCGTCACTTTGGGCCTGGTGCGGTGTCCCTTGGCTTAGACTGTTCTCGTGCATGTTTGGGCGTTCGATATACCACGGCCGCAAGGCGTGGGGGGGGGGGAACACGGCAGCTGCACAGCATTCTTAGGCACAAGTCTGCCGGGCCTTTGTTCAAATCAAATCGAACTTTCCAAGCTTTCTTCCGTCACAAACTCCACACAGCGCCGTGTCCCATGTCGAAGCCCCAAGCCGTTCGGGGTTTAGGAGGAACATTACGTACATCTGTGGAGCGGCATCGACAGCTACCCCAGCACGCGTTCAAAAACCGCGCGAGGTTGAGAATGAGTTGAAAATGTACGGATACAATTGAAGAAAAAAAAAAATCAACTCCGGACTTTGAGGTTCTATCCTGAGACGTTGGTGTATCTGAACAGACCATAATTCGTGTACTATGGCTCCAACGGGGAAGAAGCCGAGCGGATCGTGGATCCGTGACCCATTGTCAAAGAGGCAGTGAAGAGGTTCCCAGTGGATGCTCAAGGACGGCATCGCCAGACAGCTCCCCAGTTCCGTCATTTGGACGAGGGAAGGGGTTTGAAAAGGGCCCCCCCCCCCAGTGTTTGTTTCAACGGGAGCGAAAATTCGTCCCATGCATCCCAGAACCGCCAAGCTTCACCTTTCTCTAACCAGCAGTGCCGTTGGTTCTGCGAACGGGCTGGTTGCGCGATCCGTCACTAGCAGCGAATCGGCACGGCATGTGGGCGTGTCATCCCAAGGTGTTTCTTTGGTGATGGAAAGTGATGCATCCTTCGTCAAGGTGACGGCTGGGCATCTCGGTGTGCGGTAAAGATTCGCACCCCGAGGATGCAGAGGTCGCATGCACAACAGCCAATACTCATTTCGTGAAAGTGCGGGTATGTGCTCCAGCAGCGGTTTCTCAGCACGACGTTTTTGCAGCACTGGTGCAGCCCCCTCGTCTTAAAAGCGTTCAATATTATGCGTTTCGGCGAGCCGTTCTCCGAGTGAGAGGGGAGAAGAAGCAAACAAGGGACTCGGACTGTGGATGGCATGGCAAGGCGGCCCATGAGACTCCTCCCCAAAAGAACCTCAATGGGCCAGGGTCAGATGCAGGTACAGCGCACCGTATGCGGGCGACGAACCACGACAGAAGCGCACATCTGCATCAGGAATGCGCTGTATTGTCCTGCTGGCTGGATTTGCGTGTGCGGCGTCGGTGGAAAAAAGGCTTGTCGTGGGCCTAGCGGCGGAGAAGAATACGAGGCGTAAGTAAGCCTTTGTGGGCTTACGGACTGCGGGACGAGACAATATGGACTGGGTGACGCGACGTCCTTCGTTGACAGGATCTCGGTGGTCCAGTTGTCAGTTCGAGGACAATCGATTGTCTGGCCGAGGCAGAGGGCGATTGCGATCCATGGCCCTGGGCCGGGTCTCGTTTGGGTGGTGGGTGGTGTGGGTGAGGGTGAGGGTGAGGATGAGGATGAGTGGGATGACGGAACGGGTGAGATTCGTGGCACCATTTTTAGCTTTCATGGTTGAGCTTTCTTCTTTCTGTGCCGCTAAAACATTTTGAAAGAATGGCAGGGACAAAGCAAACGTGTTTTTCGGATGTCTCACGGAGCGCCGCCAGATGGAAAGTGGTTGGCTCGTATTTTTGGCAGTGGCTCTTTACGAAGAATCCGTAGGTACCTTAGGTAGGCAAGATTCACAGCACTTTCCAAAGGGAAGCCGCGGTGGAATCTTGAGGGGCTGCTCGATGAGGAATGGCGCTAGTGTACAAGAGCCGTTGACGGTTCGGGGTGTCGTCGGTCGAGTCCAGATCGTGTCGAGTTGGGTCCTGACCCGTCATGAGCTTTTTAGTGTACTGCATAGCAGATGGGTTCGTCACTGGGACACGCGGTCCATTCTTGGAGTTGGAGCAGGTGCCGCCATGATCTCCTGGGCGAAACCAACGGCGCCAATTGACGCGCAGAGAAGGGCAGCGTCTGCACACGGGCCTGCAGCCAAATAAAGCTACACGACAGCGCGCTGGCCAGTCGTTTAGTCACTGCCGTGGGTGACTACTGATTAGGTACCTACTGAGCAGTGAGAGGCAATCAATCAGACTTTCGTCCCATCCATCTCATCTCATCCCATATCGGCCTTGACCCAGAACAAGGTGGTCCGGCCCCGGTAGGCGATGTTGGTTCTCTTCTGATATCCAGTCGTTTGGCCTGCCAGTACTGAACTAGTCAGTCGGTCAGATCAACGAATATATACAGATGCTCACGATGCTCGTCTCATTCATCCCTTGTGAAAGCGTCGCCGCGCCACTCAGTGTGAGGTGCGGTGTGCCGTACGTACCTGCAGCCACAGGCAGGTTTTCAGCAAGGTACCCGACGCCTCTGTTCCTGTGTCCTTGAAGTGGTGTCGTCGTCCCTGGCCTGGGTGCCCGCCCTGGCTGGCTGGCTGGCTGGCAGGTGAGCACGGGCGGGCAGGCAGGCAGGCACAACACAATGAGGTGCCCTGGACACTGGCTCTCCCTCTCCCTCTCCCCCGGTCCTGGCCCTGGCCCTGGTCCATGTCCTGGTTCCCCGTGATAGTGGACAGTGGAACTGCTCATTGCAACTTTGGGGCCCTCTGGTTGGCCAATGGGGCGCGATGTCCTCCAGCTAGCAGCCACCCGCCCATATCAAGCGAGATTATCGAAATCTACCACTCCTGCGAGAGTGACTGCATGTGGCCCCCGACTGGTCTTGGGAAGACACGCAGTAGCAGTGGGTGGACAGAGAGAGAAAGAGAGAGAGATGGATGGCACTGCACACACACAATCAAGCGCTTGCTTGCTGCTTCCACGCTTTGTTTCCTGCGCTCATTCTCAGATTTTTCCCTCTCTTCACTTTCCGGCCCCCGATGCTTATTATTATCGTTGAGCCTCGACCTCCACCGTCCCCCCCATAGGCATCCGAGTCCCTCGCTTCATCTCTTCTTTCCTTTCCTCTTTTCCCCTCTTGCCACCGCGCTGCCACCATGCCATCAACCTGAACATCGGCCGTGAGAACTGGCAGATGAAAGGGAGACAGACCAACGACACAGCATCGAGCACGCGGACAACGAGAAACGGCTGAACGAACCAAGAGGCGTCCTTCATTTTTTGACTGAGAAAGAGGGGGGGTTTTCTTGACTTGCTTCTTCACTGTTGCTGTTCTGTTTCGTTTCTGCTACCGGCCACTCATTCGCTCGCGGCCCGCTGCAGGACGGACACCCACCACCACCACCACCAGCAGCGCACCACCAGACGATGCAATTCATCGACATCGACTCCAACGGTCATGAACAGCAGCAAATCAAGCATGGAATCTGAATAGATCGACACGTCCCGTCCATACAGCTCACACGCACACCACACTCGCTCAACACCAACCACCACACTCGTTACGGGGCTTTTGATCCGCCCGTTCTATCTTTATATTTCTCGCTCCGCTCGGCTTAGCCAGCTCGACATTCGCCTCCCTCTCGGGAACAAACGACACCTCCGCCAACCAGACCGGGCAGTAGCTCAGCCTACTGCCCACGCCACCCCAAATCCACAACCATGACTAAATCACTGCGCGGGTCTTCACTCCCTCAGGCCCGCTCATACCATCACAATCATTACCATTTACACAACAAGCGCGCCGCCTCACACGAGAATGCGATTCCTCACCACCACCACCGCCGCCAGACAGACACAGACGAAGCCGACAACAGCCCCACTCCCGAGTCCGCATCCAGCAGCTCCTCCTCCTCTCGCAAAGTCGTCGTCCAGACCGTCTCCATCGTTCAAGTAGTCGATGCCTCCGGCGCCCCCATCGAAGTTCAGACTCACTACGCTCCTCCCGCCACCGTGGATGCCGACACGTCGCCCAGCGCCAGCGCCAGTGCTGACCTAGGCCTGTCCATCGCAGCTGTTTCCACCACCGAGACCTCCACAGACATTACCTCGTCCGAAACTGCGACCTCCTCGAGCGACTCATCCCTGTCGACTCCCCCGGCGACGACCTCCTCGACGACACCATCGCCCGCGGGCTCTTCCACAAGTCAAGATATTCCCTTGACGTCCAATCCTTTATCCTCAGTACCGGCATCGTCTGCGGCGCCGTCAGCTTATTCTTCGTTGAGTGCTCCTTCAAACTCAACAATTCGTGAGCCTTCCTCGTTCCACCGTGACCGCGACGACTGACCGATCCCTTTAGCATTCCTTACGTCAACAAATTCATCTTCTACATCAGTCCTTACCGCAACCACTTCAACAAGCCTGTTTTCGTCCGGTTCGACGAGCGTAACATCTTCAGTGCTTTCATCCATTTCATCGACTTCCGATTCATCTTCTGGTTCAACTACCACCACCACCGGCAGCCTCAGCACCACCAACACTTTTGCCACGAGCACATCGACAGGTTCCGCTGAAACGACAGCTGGAGGAGATGGGAGCGACGGCGGCGTGGGCGGCATCGGGGGCGGCAGTTCAGCATCACCCACGTCAACATCCACCCCGGGCAGTTCCAGCGGCGACGATTCGGCACCATCAACCGGCACCGTTGTGGGCAGCGTGGTGGGAAGCGTAGCAGGCGTGGCGTTTCTCGTGCTCCTCGCTTTTCTTGCCTTGCGATGGAAGAAGCGCTCCGGTGGACGACTCCGACTTAGCGAAGTCAGCGCAAAGGCCGCCCGGGGAATCCTCACTGGCTCAGGTGGACCCGACAGCGGCAGCCGTCCCGGAATGACACAAAGGGCCGTGACGTTCGGCTCGGCCGCAATTGGCGGCGCGGCTGCCGCGGCTAAGCCGCACTCAAGAAGAGCTAGCGAACCTTCCGAAACCGGCGAGAGAGGCTTTGTGAGGGTTGCAGGCAGGAAGCTGCCGTCGGTCCTCCAGGCCGGAGGTGATGGCTACACGGACCCGCGCGAAACCGCTGGAGACGCAACCGCCAACGACGACGAATCCGTCTACTACCGCGACTCTCGAGCGTTCTTCGAGCCCGGCGGCGCGGGCCAAACGCGACTTGCACTCGGCTCGCCGATGAGACCCGTTAGCGGCGTCATCACCATGCAGCCGGGCCCGGCCCGGACGCCGGTGACGGAGTCGGCTCCGTTTCCGGCACCGCCTGACTCGACCCTCTCGCCGCCACGAGACCCCATTGGCCGGACCTTGAATTCGCAGGACGGGTCGCGGGGGTCTCGGGGCTCCGTGTCCAGGTTCCAAGAGGACATGTGAAAACGCACTCGTCCCTCCCGGCCTGGACTCCGGATCACCTTTTTCCTTTCTCCTTTTTCTCCTTCACCGAAGCCGGCTCGTGCTGGCTCGACGTACCTTTAAAGAGTACTGTACATTCTCACACATCTTTTACACAAAGATAATTCTTAGTACCTAGTCGAGGGAGGTCACCTCTTTTGTTTTTTCTTCTTTACATTGTCTTGGTTTTATCCCTTCGAAAAATTCTGTTTTCGGCTACGACAGCATATGGGATTGGCGTTCTAGTGTTGGAGGGGGAGGGCGGGCAGGCAGGCAGAAAGTCATGTCTGTCTGGTATGAGTCCCCTCGCGTTTGCCGGGGGCGAACAAGGATCCTGAGGAGAGAGAGAGAGAGAGAGAGAGGGTCAGGTTCACAAACTTTTTTTGCGCGGCTTCTTATTTCTCAGGACCGGGCTGCCCGCAGTTATGGAACATCTGTGACGGTCCGGTCCAGGGGTTTTTGTGGGAGTCATTGAGGACTTTTGGGTTGGGCAAAGCGTTTTCTTTGCCTGTATGTAGATTCTTTCTCACAAAAGTTGGTCTGGTATGGGGGGGATACGGGAGGTGACGATCGTTGCCTCATGCTCCCTTTTTCGTCCCGACGAGGGGAGACGACAAGAAAAGTCTTCTGATATCTACCCTGCTACGAATAACGTCCTGCTTGGTTCATGCGCAACCCAACTTGTCTGGTTCCCGTGGTTCCATGTGACGAAAGCTTGTCTACGTTTGCCGGGCTAATTAGTCCAGGTCTTGCCAAAGTCAGTGACGACCAGTCTCTTTTGTGTGTGTGTGTGGCAGTGCGCAATCGCCGCATAACGTAGATCGGCCGGGCCTGTAAGTCCGATAGCAGAGACCAGGCCGGTCTTTCTAGGTCCTATAGCAAGGACCAGAGGACCCGTCTGATATGGTTCGGGTGGATGGAATGATGTTCACAGGGGAAGAGACCGGAAGCGCGGATGAGCGGCGGTGGATACCCTCAGAATAGTTTCTCGCATAGGAAAACAGAAAGAGAGGGCATGTAGCCGTCATACACTTTCACGTTGCTGGTGAGGTAAGCGGGCTGCCTCCTTTTGCGGGAAACGACGTGGGTGCGGCCATTGCTCGCTTGCACTCGTGATTTTCGTAACCTGCTACACCAACGGGCGGAGGCGAAGACGCGTTAGTTCGTGGGGGGAAGCGAGGGAGATCCAGGGGATGCGCGCATTCGGGACATCTTTCCCGTTCTTCTTCTGCGGCTGTTGTTGCTGCTGCTGCTGCTGCGCGCGGCGTGGAGACGCTGGGAAGGCGCAACCAAGAGTCTTCTCTTGGCCGTGTCGGGGGTTCTGGGCAAAGGGGCGGAGCGGAAGGACGGCATTGGCGGTGGGATGCGGGTGGTTGAACTTGAGTGCGTGCCAGAAAATTTCCTGGAGGTGGGTGGTGAGGGTGAGGTTTCTTGAGACAGATGTGAAACGGGAGAATGGAGAGGTGGTGAAGAAAGATGTGTGGTTCCGAACGTGCTTGGACCCTGCATGACAAATTCTCCATGCTTGGTGCTACCTACTGCAGGTTCAACCGGAGTCGCTCTGGTTATTGTGAAAGAGAGTGCGATGGTGCCTCGTCCTCATTCGGCCCCCCTGTGGATATCGTTGAGCTCGTTGTGTGTTGGCGGGTGTCTCATCCATCAGGTGTTTATCGGTGTTTACCGTCCCATCTAGAACACGGGATGAAACATCTTTCTTTTCGTTCTCAGGGCTGGCTGGAGGCGTGTGGACTAGGAACGGATGAGCTGGATCAAATGACATTCGTCTAGAAGCGCCGAGGTTGCTTCTCGCTCACAACTGAGTCTGCTTTGGACAGATGTAGTTGTTGAAGTTTCCAGAGGCCGACAAGAAGATTGAGAGTGGCGTTCGCCGTGATTTGGGAAGCTCGGTCGACGTACCGGGGAGTACTTAGTCTGATACCGTACACGAGACCTGACTTGAAAGACAGATCTTCCCGCTGCCTCACATACATAGTCTGTGCATCCGGCCAGAGCTTAAAGGAGACCCGCAGCAGCAACAGCAGAAGCGGCGGCAGCATGACGGGCAGGACAAAGTGCAAGAACCTCTTGGGCGGATACCATGTGTGTGTGTTGCGAACTCGTCGGGGCCTCCAGCCCCCACCTTGCTGTTTTGCGACGTCCATACTGGCCGTCCGATGAGGCTTGAACCACGGCATCGATGGCGTCTTGTTCCGTCTAGGGGCCAGCCCTGCTCAGATTGCCTTCGAGAAGCTTTGCATGTCGCGGACCTCGGTGCAATCAGTTCAGCAGACGGAGTAACTTGCTGAGGCGAACGAGCGAAGAGGCGAGAACCACCTGAATCTTTCGTCGTTCTGGATTACGCCCTGACTTGTCCAATGGGATAGGACCTTGTCAGGAACCGATTCTCGCTGTATCTTCACCACATGCGAGGCTCCACTTGACGAGCCGATGTTCTTACCCCTCTTTCATGGAGGGGGAACGGACGGGATGTGGACAGTGGAGTTTGTGAGACCCCTAGATAGCAGTCGCCGGTAGACTCGGATCAAGAAGATGAAACCCCCAGTTTATTAAGGTGTTGACCCTGATTTGCCTCGCCTCGCTTTCGATATCGAGATGCAAACATGGCGATGAAGCGAGAAGTAAGTGCTAATAAGCTGTTACCATAGCTTCAAGTAGGATAAAGGCAAACTTATTGCTGGGGCGCGGCGAACCCAAGCAGCCTTTTGAGAAAGGAGGCACGAGCCGGGAAAGAGCTGTTGCAAGGCATGAGACGATTTAGGTCTATGCCACTTACTCGCTGCTCCCACCGTGCGTTGCTCTGCCTGTCACATCAAGCAACCCTTGTCTCTGGGTCATCCCGAACTCAGCGTGCTAAGCCCGAGCACCGAAGTTTCGTCCAACGAGGAAATGGAGCTGGAGCTTGTTGAACATTGTGGCATGCCGCGCGGTTGGCTGGATGATGCCGAGGACTTTGCTGTGATAAGAGGTTCCATCCCGTATTCTCGAGTCGAGTACGATGGTTTGAACAGTCGAGAAAAAGGCGACCTTCATTCGCGCGCGCGCGAGACAGCATGTAAGGGGAGTGACTGACTGCAGGAAGCGCCGCACGGGCTCCGGATGGGGGCTGTCAAGCTGACGGGGATGATGTGATTCGTCGCGGGGCAGTTGTGCTCACGCTCTGCCGCGCCAGGGTCGCAGACTGACAGAGAGAGTGACTGGGGTGTGAGGGGTGAGGGTCAAGACAAGGTTGAAGGGGAGAAAAGTGAGACAGAAGGAAAAAAAACCCGATATGAAGAGGGTTGGAACTCTGAGCTGGAGGTAAAGCAGTGCCGTTGGGGAGAACGAAGTGTCAAAGAGGGGGGAGGGAGCCCGCGGAAGCATGGTAGCATAGCGGGCAGAGAAAGCCATGGGGTCGAAAGCATCAGGGTTTAGCAATGCGGTTCTTGTCGTGGACAACCCCTGACTGGATCTAGATCCATGATCTCACTGTCTGGTTTTCTCGCATGGCTGGTTTGCGACGTCGTCCAAGTGCCGCCCCATGATTCGTGAGCTCGCTTGAACCAACGGGAGGCAAGCTGAGAGTTGGGACGAGATGGCGATGGAAGACACAGAATGGCGGAGCTGCTATTTACAGCTTTCGTCGAGAGATGCAGTAGCCAGTGGGATGCGGGACAAGTCGTCCTACAAGGCCAATCCAGCTGCCGGAGTGTATTGTTGTGTGTGCGTGTGTGTGTGTGTGTGTGTGTGGCGGCGGGATCGTTCCAGCGTGTTGGAGTACGGCGGCAGCTGAGCTGAAGCAGCAACCCAGAATAGCTCGAAGACGAGTGTTGGGATTGGCAGAGAGAGAGAAACGTGGCAAAGACAAGAAACTCGCGGGATAGATGCGGCGATTGGTGGTTGCCCTGATCCACGCCGGCACGTCCCCGTTGTCTGGTTCGTTGATGAGTCTGAATGATGTTGAGCGTGTCGAAGCCATGGCGAGGTCACTCCAGCTGAGGACTCGTACAGAGCAGGAAGAAGCGAAGTGATACCGTCATTGGATCTGCAGTGAGTCGTGGTTACCGCTGCCTTGGTCTCTGAAGTTCCATCAAAGGGCCATTGCTGGATGGGTACGAATACCGGTGATGGGTATCCGTAGGTAGGTTGTATCAGTCTTCTTGCCTGTCTTGTTTGACAGTCTCCAATGCCGGGTACGTATCGCGTCGTGTACTTACCGTGAGGTGGTCGTACCCTGGCTTTCCTGCCTTGCCGTAAGTGCATCCTGCCATTCCGGGCATCCTTGTCGTTCCCCCCTTGTGGAGTCCCCCTCCCCCTCCCCCTCCAGTCCTCCGGGCCGGACCAAAGCCCAGCAGCCTGTGATGGAAGTGAGGCCCAGTGCCTGCAAGGAACTGCGGTACACGAGGGGCTCCCGTCACTCCTCAGTTCTCCGCTGGCAGCCAGTGCCCAAGCCCCCAGGTACGACACTGAATGGACGTCCACAGCGACGTATGCGGCACTGTAGGACTCAGGAGCCCAAGTGCCCAGCAAGAGACGGGAGGGCAGCGAGACGCAGGCAAGACAAGCGCCCCCCCGTCAACTACGCCCCGCTGACCAATGCCACTCCACGCTCACTGCAAGCACACTGACTGACCTCTCTGCAACTCTGTAACGCCTTTCGCCCCCCAACCTGTCCACCAGGAGGAGGAGCAGCAGCTTGTCGTTATGTGATACTGCCATGCTCGATTCCACACTGCTTCGCTTTTTACTCCTTCCGTCCCATCATTTCCTGCTCGCACTTACCTCTTCCTCCTCTCTCTTCTCCCACCCCTCATCCTGTTAACTCGTCATTATTCGATTCGATTTCCTCTCAGGCGTCCGAACGTGATACCCCTCCCTCCCCGCCGCTTGTTCCCCTGCTCCCATACGCAGTACACGAAAGAAGGGCCTACGGACAGCAGCCACCCACCTGATATTTTACGGCCTCCATACGAAGCGAAACCGCT